TCATTTTGCACATTTCGAGAGTGGTGTGGTGTGGCGATGCCCATATTCTCAACCCGCATCGCCGTACTCGACTCTCAGAGCAGCTACTCGATCCGTGGGATATATTCCCCACACTATCAAGGAAAGCGCTTTCCAGGTCATCTCGGGCACCAAACCAAGACCGCCTGCTCTCTCCACACTTTTCACCGAAATGGACACGTCTGCGCCTGCATCTGTGCCCGCATCTGTGCCTGCAATGCACTCCACATCTGATGCCGCATACTCTTCCGACGATCGGTAGGGATTTCCTCCGCGGGACAAAGAGGAGGAGAGAATACACACGGAGAGACGCCTCCACCGTCTCATCCGGGAACGCCATCCTGCTTGATAATGCAGACTGGCCTGCCGGCGCCAAAAAAAAAAGTCAGCATCGTTACTGCTGATGACACTAAGGGCATCGCCACACCACTGTCGAAATGTGCAAAATGAGAATGAACTTCCCGGTAGAACAAGGGCGGGTGCACCGGCCGCATTTTTGTCTTTTTCACATTTCCAGAGTGGTGTGGCGACGCCGTAACACTACATTTCGAACTCGGCATTTCCTACCCCAGGGAGTACACCCGATGGCTATTATGGTCTGGGTGAGGCCCCCTCGTTGCTCTTGCGAAGTTCTCTCTCTGGAGAGCGTTTCACCTCGTTCATGCTCTGCCGCTGCAGATCCGCATCATCCATATCTGTGTCGCACCCCCCGGGACTCGAACCTGGATCCCAATCCATCGCCAAAGGAAAGGGAGGAACCTTCCTCCACCTCCTTGCCTCCCCGGATACCTTTCCCCCGTCCCCGGACCCTCCCCTCCCTTCCCCTTGGTTTGGATTTCCCCTCCCATCCTCGGATTCCTTTCCCCCGTCCCCGAACACTCCCCTCCCTTCCCCTCGGGTCTGTATTTCAACAGCTCATGGGTGTACAAACTGCGCTAGGCCAGTACATGGGTGTATCAAATGAGCTAGGCCCCCGTTGGTTTGGATCTTTTTTTCGCAATACTATCCGCGCCTTGCTTGCCGGCTCAAAACTACTTCAGCTTCCTCCCCCAGCGGCCTAGAGAGCATGTGAGTGGCCACGTGTCATGCATGCGAGTGGCCACGTGTCGCCACCAGAACTCAGCAAGCCCAGCTGCAATCACACAGTCTCAGACTGGCCTACCGTCCCGACCTTTCACGAGCTCTCCCCACTACACCACACAAGCTCCACCGTCGGCACTGGAACCAGCACCCACTGCCCGTCCGTGCTCTCCCCCACTCCATCGCTCCTCTTCTCTTCTCTCTTCTCTCTTCTCTCCTCTCCTTCTCTCCCTCCTCCGAGTTCTCTTCTTCGTTCACTGTCCCTATCTTAACTTCTCATTGTCGCACATTATCGGGCACGTAGGCCCAGAACAGGCCCAACGGCCCCAATCTTCTTTTTTTTTTTCTTTTTTTTTCTTTTTTTTTTCTTTTTTTTTTCTTTTTTTTTGAAAAAGTGGCCCGATGGACCACGGGTCAGATTGAACTGATCAGAACAGATGCTTCACTTAATCCTAGGCCGATAAAGGTATTACGGTCCCAATCTTTGGACCATTTCTTGATCTTAGGCCGAGAAAGGGGTTACGGTCCCGATCTTTGGATCATTTGTTCGATTTCTCTGATTCCTTGCACTCTCACAAAAGTCGACGGCTTGAATCTTCCTACGTAGTTTCCAACAAACCCCGGCCCGTCGGGCTGTGCCCACGGACGGCGTCTACATTGGCGATTTCTCTTTCCGTTCATGCATCTTCGCTGCGGCAGAAGGCAGACTGCCGGGGGCGAAAACCGGTTTCGTCCCATTTTCACGCAGACACGTAAGAAAACGAATAAAATCGGACGATTTATGCCAAGCGCTCTGACCGATGACCGATCATAATGCGGCTTCGTGCAGAGGGGGACGATGGAAAAAAGGATAAGGAGGAAAACGGCACCCGAAGAAGGGTTGCGATATCGAGTCGTGGTTAATACACTACTGTAATACAAGGCAGGCGGATACCATTTGTACGGCCGTCTGCGGAGTCAGAAAACGGGCATTATCCTTGGAATGCGCAGTGGACACACTCCATCGGAATTCGAATAACATGTGCGCTGCGTTCAATTTGGTGCGCTGCAGTGAGAACTCTCGCTACGAGTAAACAGTCCGGAATGCCGTAAAAAAAAAACAAAAAAAGGGCTTCTTCGTCGTCTACGTAAGCAGCCGTCGCGCACACACACTACACTATCCTCCTCCTCCTGATATTCCTTGCTGTGATGAGCCTCGCTCCACTCTACTCTCGACATGCACAAAAGACAAAATCATGGCCCGTGTATCTTTCCATGTTCTAGCGGAAGATTCATTCTCGTTTTGCACATTTCGACAGTAGTGCAGCGAGGCCCGATGGCATGAAAAGCGACCCCTCAAACAAAATAACAAGGGGAAAAAATTTCGAATCCGCTACCCACTCCCGATGGCGTGAAAACCGTTGAACTCAAAAAAAAAAAAAAAAAAAAAAAAAAAA